GCTTCCCTGAGGAGCGCTTATGGTACTCTGAAGGAAACCCTCGTCTAATATTATCAAGGCCACCATCTAAAACCCTAAACCCTAAACCCTGAACCCCATAATTATCAAGGAACCCTGTATGAAGGAACCCTATACAAAGGAACCCTTTAAGGAACCCTGTATTCAGGAACCCTTTAAGGAAGCCTACCCCCTTAAACTTTTTAAAACTAAGCCGAGGAGCCGCTGGGTTGGTCCTGCCGGTGGCTCCGCAGCCGGTGGCTCCGCTGCCTTCGGCTCCTGGCAAGGACTCGTACTTAAAGGGTTTAGGGTTTAGGGACCAAGTAACTAAGAGTTTTTAGCGTAGCTGGACTTATGATGACTTCTCTAACCCCGTACTTATAACCAAACTTACTAAGTCCCATGATCCTCCAAGTAGTCAGCCGGTTTAAGGCCTATGCTTTGGGGCCAAGGCGGCAGAGGGTTTAGAGTATACTAGATACTTTACTAGATCATAATATCCTGTACTATACTTAAACCTTAAGGGACATAAGAGGGAACCCTAATCGATGGCATTGGTATGTAATTACTGCGATTTCTTCCTCCGTGTACCACGGCATAGCACCTTCAAGCCTTTAAACCCAAAGCCGTGCAGTTTAGTAGAATGTAGGGTGCCTATATTAAGAATGACTCATAAGGTCTGGGAAAGTATCGCCCCATACCTGTACCTCGGACCCTTTGTTGGGTAAACCCTGAACCCTAAAAGCCTAAACCCCGAACCTTAAAACACAAAACTGCCTAAAACCCCTAAAAACTCTAAAAACCCTAGAATCCTAAATTTATTAAAGCCCTAAAACCCTAGAAACCTAAACCCCCCTTAAAGCCCAAAACCCCTAGAGCCCTAAACCCTCCTTAAAGCCCTAAAACCCTAAAATCCTAAACCCTCCTTAAACCCCTAAAACCCGTACCTTGCCTGAGCGATCGGCTCGGGAACCGAAGCTGGAGCTGCTTCCGGCGGAGTGGCTGCAGCCAGGCCAGTCCTCTCGGGCTTTACAGCTTTATTTACGGCTAAGGGTTCAAGGGTTTAGGGGTTTAGGATTTAGGACTTAGGGTTTAGGCTTTACCCAAACCCCCCCAAACCAAAAAAAAGGAACTACAATGGAGACTATAGGTAGGGCCTGTTTCATAGGGTTTTGGGTGGAGGGTTCAGGGTTTATATAAGGGGCCTACTTCATGGGGTTTACGGTTACGTTTAGGGCCTGCCAGGACCCCTCAACTACCCCTAGAGGTAGCCCGAAGGCCCATTTTCTTAAACCCCCTTTGTCTGAAAGCTAAAAATCTCCCAAAAGCCTTATATGGTATGGTCTTTGGGCCCGAAAGCCTTAATATATGAGTCCTTAGAGCCTTAGGGTAAGATGTATAATTGACGGCTTTGTCTGAAAGCTACCTTAACCTAACAAAGCCTAATTTTTGTAGTTCTTAGTCTAAACCCTAATATGGAATTTGGACGGGCCCTACAAAAAGGCAGGTTTTGACAGGTTAAGCTAGGCGGTCCTGAGCCAATCCTTCACCACCAAACGCGCCACAACCTCCGCATCCGCCCTCACGGCTCTTGGATCCTCAGGGTTAGGAGGGTACTACTCAAAGGATCATGGGACTTAGTAACTAAAGTTATTATTAGGGTTGCTATACTTATAACTACTTGTAACCCCAATTAAGGTAGTTATAACTTTACTTACTAAGTCCCATGATCCTTTAAGTAGAAAGGGTGCTATATATGAGGTTACCAAGAGGGTACTTTTGGTGTAGTACAGGTTTCTAGAAGGGTACCATAGGGGTAGTAGTATAAAGTTACTATACGGGTTCTGCTACTATACGATTACTGCAAGGATGCCGTTTTGGATTCCGGGTATGGACACCGAGGCTCTTATGGTCTTATGGTTTTCCTTTTCGAATCCCTTTATCTTCCCCTAGGCATCTAAGGACTCACATATTAAGGCTTTTGGGCCCAAAGGCCATACTATACAAGGCTTTTGGGCCTTCTTGATGCCCAGGTTTCCAAAAGTCTGTTTCTAGGTCCTTACCTGTGGATCACCTTGCCTGTATAAACCCTAAACCCTAAACCCTGAACCCTAAACCCTAAACACTGTATGGAGATGACCAAGTGCCCGTATCACCGCCAAGATCCCCGTACGGGGCCTCTCTGTGAATCCCTTATAGAATCCTCGGCCCAAGCCTTAAACCCCCCAAACCCTACCTGAAGGATCATGGGACTTAGTAACTATAGGGTTCTTTAAAGGGCTCCTTAAAAAGGGATCTATAAGGGGTCTATAAGAGGGGTCTTAGGGTTTACTTGAAGGATCATGGGACTTAGTAACTAAGGTTATCATAAGGGAAACTATGAATTATAGCTACTTATAACCCCAATTAAGGTACTTAAAACCGTACTTACTAAGTCCCATGAATCTCCAAGAAACCCTAAAACAGGTGCCAAGCCTCAACCCCCAGTCTCTATCCCCCTCGACCCTACACCCTAAACCCCCTACCTATAGTCTCCATTGTAGTTCCTTCTTTTTGGTTACCCAGTTCTATGGTTCGGATCTGATAATAGAGATTTTGGTTAACCAAAAGAAAGGAACTGCAATGGAGACTATAGGTACACCCTAAACCCCCTACACCCTAAATGAGGTGACAAGAGTCGGTAATCTCAGCAGCCGCATGCGGAGTTCCCTTTTCCGCCTTCGAGGCTTTCAGAAATGGGTGCCTAGTGTTGAGGGTTTAGGGTTAGGGTTTCGGGTAGTTTAACACTCTTCTCAGAAGGGCGCCGAATCTTTGCGGATATTGTTAGGGCGTGTAAAGGCTTTCCAGGATTGCGCAGGGCCTATATCCGTAGGAGTTCTACACGGCATCTAGAATTTAGGGGACTTAAATGCGGCTGACAGGGCATATGGGGGTTTCCGACAATTAGGGCTACCATATTTTGGGGTCCTTGGAATAGGGATCCCACTATTTAGGGTACTGTATTAGGGTCCCTAATTTTCGGAAACTCCCATATGGGGTGGTTTGGATGCGGGTCTGGTTGTCAACCATGTCTGTCTGCGAGCATCGTGTTGGCGTTCTGACTGCCCTGGATCTCGACTTGCCTAGGACTAAGGGGGGTTTAGGGTTTAGGGGTTTAGGCCTAATGTTGACCACTACCCATATATAGAGCATGGCAGATTCCGATGTGCCTGAGCTCTTTGGCTTGGAGCTTTTACGGTTTAAGGTTAGTTCCTTGAGACATCCGGCCTAATGGGGCGTGTTCGGGACAGTTTGCAACAGCGCAATGTTCACCACACCGCCGTGAGAATGACATCATGACAGCTCATCGGGCAATGCGGGTGGTGACCACAAAAACGATGCTGAGATGAAACGATGCTGATCCCAACACCCCCAAACTCCGAAACCCTAATAAACACGGGTTTCGACGCCCTGTGCATGACAAGTCGCTGCAAACTGAGCACTCCAATACTCCAAAACTCCAACTTCAACTGCCCGAAATCCCTGTCAGACCTCCTGTGCAGCATCGAGGGCAGCCTCTAGCCTGCTGGAAGCAATTCTACCAAATCCGGAACGGGGGGGGTACATGTTTAGGGGTTTAGGGTTTAGGGTTTATAGGGTTTAGGGGTTTAGGGTTTAGGCGGGCTTTGGGGAGCATGTTACGTTTGGGCTTTGGGTTCCTGTAAAATTTGAAGGATACTGTATAATTAAGGTTGCTTAGGATTCCAGGGTTCCATAAGAGCGGTCTAGGGTCCTAGGGTTGCTGTGAGGGAGACAAAAGCAAGGTTGCTGTAAGTGTTCGGGTTTAGGACTTTTAGGGTTCGGGGTTCCAGGGTTCGTAATACAGGTTACTTCAAAAGTGTAGGATTTAGGGCTTACGGTGCTTAGGGTTCTAGGGTTCCTTTCAGGGCTACTGCAAGTGGACTTCACATGATAAGGCTGTTAAGGGTGTAGGACCAGGGTTTGGGGTTGTAGAGTTCCTGAAGGGCTACTAGAAGGGTACTGGAGGGTGCTCTCCTGTCATATAGGGGGCTTAATAATTAGAATAGGGTTTTGGGGCCCATTATACTTTTATTATAAGGAACCTCCAAAATAGTATTGGTAATCTTTTAGGCCCCTATAGTATATAAAGAAAAGATGTGACACATGTGATAAGACGCAGTTTATTCGACCACTAACAATTAACAATCAACAAGCAGATGCACAATCAACGGAGTTTAGACTCAACTAAACACATATGCAGCCTTGGTTGCTGCGAGCTTCTTTGAGTGTTGACTGTTCCATTTCTTCCGTTGCCTTTGGTTCAAGATTCTAGGGCATGCGATCGTCTGGGGCTCCTGATTCATGGGTGTAGAGAGGTTTAGGGCTAATGCAGCTCAATTACCCAAAGGCTCCATGTAGCCATATAGTATATACATATACCCTAAAGTACCCATATAGGGGCCCCTTTAAGGCCTAAGTATATACTATATACATGGAGCCTTAGGGTTAGGCAGCCTTGGCATATAACATTCGAAACTACTTGTTCGCGGACTTTGAGCCTCGGTGCTGGGCTTGGGGTTGCGGCTTCAGGTTTGGAGTGCGCCTTTTTTGGCGTTGTCTGGTCTTGTCACTGACTCACAAAATAATGCCACGTGATCAAGCCCAATTTCGGGCTTTGCAGGTCTGAGCCTTCAACAGCTCTGTCATGTAAACTGAAATGTAAATCATATATCCAAGATTGTGGGGATGCCTTCCCTGCTTGCAACTACTGCCCGTATGAGCAGACTTCGACATCAAGACCAGTGATTACCTGCTTGTGCTGCAGGAGTCTCAAGAAGCCTCTCAAGCTTTAGATTTGAGCTCTGCATACAACCCCTCGACATGACATGAGCTTGCTTGTTTCCCCAGGGCTCCAAGCATACAAATAGTACCGACCCCAAAGTATCTATAAATAGGACCTACTTTGGGTTATTTGGAGCCCCAGAGTTTCTGAAACTCCGACATCAGAGCTGGATGTGAGTTCGTTCGGCGGGCTCTGACACCTCCATCTCCCCTGGAGACGCAGAAATGTCTGCTCCGTGGCCTTCCTCAGTGGCTCAGACACGTAACGGAAGTGACGCCCTCCCTTAGTAACTTAGCAATTTGTCCAGGGGTTTACATATGAACTAAATGACAGAAAGAAAAGGAGCTTCAGCTGCCAAGCTTCATGCTCCTGTCCCGCTTGAGCCTTCAGCCGCATGGGAACAGGGAGAACTCTGAAGAGCAAGAACGCGCATGCAAACAGGATTGCGTCGAAAACGACGGGTCCTGGTAGCTCAAGGGTGCAAAGCTGCTCTAAGACCAAGAAGGCCACGAAGAGGCTTATGGCGACCAGGAGGATGCCACAAATGATGAGCACATCCCAACAGATCTTGGCAGCATTGCTTTGGCCGATGCGGCGTCGCAACAAACATGAAAGCCTCGAGGTCACCTTTCTTCTGCAATAACCGGGCCCCAGTGAAGAAATTCAAACTTCCTATGATAGAGACCACACATATGAGGCCAACAAGTCCAATTCAACTTCTCCCATTCGCTTTCTAAACCCTAAAACCCCTAAACCCCTAAACCCTGAACCCCTAAACCTTAAACCCTAAACCAAGTCACCAGGAAGAGTATGGGCAAGGCAGCAAATGACCACCCAATGCCTCGAAGCACTTCTCGAGCGAGCGCCTTGAGCTCCCTGTGAAGATAAGCGGTGTGACCTTAAAGGGAACTCCAGAAAGTTGGAATATGGTTTCAGGGTAGGATACCTTATAATTTACCGTAAAGGGGTTAGGATAATCATATTCCAACTTTCTGGCTTTTTCTTTAGGGGCTGAGTACCCTTAACTTTCTCCTATACCCCCTTAGAGCCACAATAGAATTAATAAGTTTAATATTCTCTTGGGTTTTGTATGAACTTAAAATGAAACACAATAGAGGTTAAAGGTTGCCTGCTCAGCTCCCAAGTGACCGCTTGTTGGCCGGAGGAACCAGTCCAGCGGCTCGGAAGCGGTGTCCAGGTGGTGCCAGAAAATGGGCAGAGACATGACTACAAACTCCCGATAAGTCAGAATGCTCGTTGCGAGCCTCACACAAGCGGCTTCCTTCGAACATCCAACCCTAAATTAAGTCCTAACCCCCGAAACCTTAAATCCCAGACTCCTAAACTACTAAAACCGATTGACACTCTAGGGCTACTCTGCTGTATTGTTGGCGGGATCCTCGGCGGGCACTCCGTGACATTTTCGGCTGGATTCTTGGGCGGGCACGCGCCCGAGGGGTGTCTGTGGGATAAGGGATCGCGTGCGCGGTTCGCTGAAGGGGAGCATCAGCGGGAACCCTAAACCCTAAACGCTAAACCCTAAACCCTAAATCCTAAACCCTAAACTTTAACAACCCTAAACCTTATAAACCCTAAACCCTAAACCTTAAGAGCCCTAAACCCTAAACCGTTCGGAGCTGGGCACTGGCGGGATACTCTGCGAGGCTCGCCGGGGATGTGGACTAGAAGGAGGGTTCTGCGCTGCTGTCCCATACTATATAAGGCTTTTGGGCTGTTTTGGGCCTTAGGGTTCGGATTTAGGGTCTTGGGAACATGGGGTTTTGGTTTTGGAATTAGTTATTATTCGGTTCTTCAACCCCGGGCCCTAACTCGTACTTATGAAAGCAAGCTTCCAACGCGTACAGTACTAGTAGGGGGTACTATAAATATAGCAGGATCCCATAATTGGGTTCTATAGTAAGGTTTTCCCGTTTGGGTTTTCGGCTGGAGCACTTGTCACCGGGATAGTGTGTCGGGCACTACAGATACTCCGCAGGACACTGGGTTCTCTGGGTGCTCTTCGGGATACCCTACACCCTAAACCCGAAATCCGAAAGCCTAGACCCTAAACCCGAAATGGGCTCTTTGGGTGCTCTTCGGGATTCTGTGAGGTTCTCTATAGTTTGGGGGCCAGCCCAAAGCGAGGAATACGGCTGATGGATTTAGGTTTAAAGGTTAAAAATTTAGGGGCTGAGGGTTTAGGGCTCAGGGAAAGTCTAACAAGCCGAAATCCACCTGGGGGAGAAGAAACAACCTGTTACGAAAGAGGACCTGCAGCATGATGTTAAGCCAACTCCAAGCAGCTGTTCGGTGAGGCAGGCCAAAACTTCGGAACGCATAAGGTCTTCGAAAAGGTCGATGCTGCCGAACCACTTGGTTATGCAGATCTTCAGGATCCGACGATCGCACGTCTGCGAATACTTGTGGTTTGTGTCGCAGCATTGGCACGAGCAGCTGTCTAATCGAAACTGTTGTAACTCACTCTCCATCATCTCCACAAAACGGAAGAACTCACGGAGTTTCATGACACTGAAGTAAAATGCCACGAAGCTACAACCCGCCATCAGCGGCCACATGACTTCCAACCGGGCCAGTTCTTTGTCTTCACCGGCTGGAACAAATGCTAGAGCCAGCAGAAGACTAGCCTATACTGAACTTAGAACCCGAGCAAAAATATAATTTTAGCTGTTTCTTAGGGATTATAACAACCAAAAATTAAAAAAAATCTAAATGCCCCTAAGTAGCCAGTGCCACGAGCATGGAGATGAAACCAACGCCCAAAAGCGTCGGTCGGACTCTGATTTTCGGCTTCTGCCCGGGTGGGCGGGAATGCAGGAAGGCTGCGATCTCGAAGCAACACCAAAGACGCCGTGTATAGGTTGGATCCCAGAGCACAAGCAGGGAATCTGATGACTTAAGCAAAGCAGGCATACTGAGCAGCGCCAAGGCCTTCCACTTGTTATCGTCCTGTTTGATGCACAACGTATCAAGGAAGATCCCCTTTCTTCGTTGCCAAAGCAGCAGAACGAAGCAATAGACTGCGAAGCCAGTAGCTTTAGACCAGTAGGACACCAAAGGATACTGTGCTATGTAAGGGGGCTTCTGAGTTGCCTCGAAAAATGCCATAGGAAGCACTCCAGCGACGAACAAGGATGCAGAGATCATTGCACAAACCGACGCGATCAGCGGAGCGATCAGTCCGTTGTTGAGGTATGTGACTGTCACGATCTTGCTCCACCTGCTGCCATGCCAGCTGTGGCTCCAGAACTCGTCAATCTTGCCTGTCTGAAAACTTGTCTGGAAGCCACCAGGTCTTCTTCTCCTGGAGGATCGCAAGGCGCGTCCACAGCAGAACGTCACTCGGCCGGCCCGCACAGCCCGAACGATGTCGGGCCTGACGGGCTTCATCCTGCTGAGGACTCCGACAATCATCTCCTCCATGTCGGTGTGTCTGTCTGCACTCATCTTGGGTATGTTGTCACTGACACTTTCCGCCTTAGCATACCTCTCGTCGTCACCTGCGTTGTCGTCACTGCCTGCACCTTCGGTGTCATCCGTGGCAGCGACAACTTCCACGGCGCCCGAAGTAGGATCCATGCTTGCGTCCGTGAGTTCCAGCCAGCTAATTGCAACACAGCATGGAGGAAAACGGTGAAAAATCTCACAAGCAAAGTCTTTCTCTGAGTTGTCCTTTAAGCCCTTTGAATATTATTTACTATTATGGTTCTCTACAAAATAGCAGGGGAACTTAAAAACGATCCCAAAGGACAACCCAGTTCGGGATACGGGCCAGAAGCCTGCAGCACGAACGAGCCACGCTGGCTGCCTGTTACCAGCTGCACAAAGAATTGTAAAAAAAAACAACAAGAGCGGTGAAAAACACAATGTGCGTAAGGTTATGGTTCAACGTAAAACCTGTAAGTTCTTGAGTGTTCAGGGCCTTGTTCGTCTTCAAGGATTAAGGAGGAGGGGACAGCCGGCCTTAGAAGGCCACTCAGAAACTAACGAAAAACTAACCCGAGGCAGTGAAAGGCGTCCACCCTGCTGCAGCTCGCCTGTTGCTTCATCTCACATCTACCCTAAGGCCCCATATAGTAGTTCCTTTTTGTGGTTCATATTTAGATTCCTTTAAGGTAAACACCAAAAGGAACTACTTTGGGGGCCTTAGGGCAACCTGCTGATCTGAACGCCAGCACCCCAAGAAGTTCTCCGGTTTGGCTCAGCAGGGTGGGGCCAAACCGCATCCAATCTTTACCTTCAGGGTCCAAAGGACCCGATAATTAGGTACTCGGTTTTAGGATAGTAGTTATGTAGGTTAGGATTCTGGAGAGTACATGATGATTAGGTACTTGGACCCTTAGGGTAAGACCGGCATCCGAAAGCCTCTAAGGGCTTAGGGTTTAGTGTCTAGGGTTTAGGGTTTAGGGGGTATAAGGTTTAGGGTTTAGGGGTTTAGGGGTGCGGGGGTTCAGGTCTTAGGTTAATGGTCGAGGCTTCACATCACAAGTCCGTGCCCCTCCAACACTCCCGACTTCGCACCATCTATCTGCGCCGCAAGATCCTGACCCTACTGCGACCATAGAGCGACTGGCTCGAAATCCCTACTACAAGGATCACGGGACTTGTATAACTAATTCTTCTAGGGTAACTCTACGTTTAAACTCATAAAACCCCAATTCAGGTTCCTTAACCCTAAACCCTAAACCCTAAACCCTAAACCCTAGGTACCTTAAGAGCTTCCTGCTAAGTCCAATGACCCTCCAAGTACCGTACTGCATCCGTGACAAGTGGCCGCTTCATCGCCGTGTCTTTGTCTCTGTTCTCAATGGTTGCTTGAGCCTTGGAGTTTTCTTGGCTGAAAGGTATATACATATACATACATACATACATATGTTGGTGTACATGTGTGTGTACATGTAAATGATGTGTATGTATGTATATATATATATGTATGCAGAAAAACAGCCATGACTCTGCGCAGACAGAAATGGACAGTCAAGAGGTGCAAGCTTTTGGAAGCGTCTGTTTCCAGATATACCTGTCGAGTCGACACTTGTCTAGATTTGCTTTCACGACTCCGTGACATCAGTAAGCATCACGCTGCCAGACGGCACTAGCAGAAACAGCAGCAGCATCGGAAGAGGAGGAGGAAGAGGAGGAGGAGGAGGAGGAGGGCGACGACGACGGCGAGCAACAGCGGCAGCAGCACCAGTCAGCAACGACTGCGACTGCTGTCACATGAATGCAGACAAGCTGCAAGCGCATCCTCCAAGCGAGCTATCTCGCCCTTCATCTGCTCACCTTGAGCATCGGCCTGCGATTGGGGTTTAAGGGCTTATAGGGTTTAGGGCTTGCGGGGTTCAGCAAAGAATGCTGCTCGGGGTTTCATTCGGAAAGGATGACCCTCACGAGTAGAATCTTCACTTCACTCCTGTTACCTGGAGGTTCATGGGTAATTACAAGTGGAGGTTGTAAGTTCTGCAAGCTTTAAGGTTTAGGGTAGCTAGAAAGGGTCAGAAGTCCCAAATCTGGATTAAAACTAGAGTCACCCAGCTTATACACCCACCTATAACTAACCATGAACCTCCAAGTCGTCCATGTTAGTCCCCATGACCAGAGCCGGCTCAAAGTCCTCTCTGAGAAATGTAGGAACCTGACTGATTTGCAGTACCATTACTTGAAACCCCTGGTTACAACGTCATTCCCCATGCCCAAACAAAGACAGCAGTTTGATATTGGCAAATCCTCATTACAGCCGGAACTAAAACCTCAACCCTATAACGCAAAACCTAAACCCTAAATTCGAAAAGACGCCTGTTAGGGCCCATGCAGTATATTACACCCTTCGCAGCCTCTTATACTGGAGACCTCCCGCTAGCTTCATCTCAGAATCTGGGCAACTCCCAGGTACCTAAAGCCACCAAAACCTACTATGTTTGAGGTCCAAACAAATTAGCAATTTAAGGTATAGGTATTTAGGGCGACGGGTTAGGGTTTAGCGTTTAGGCTGCTTAGGGCTTTACGGGGATTGCAGATTTGTGCCTATTTTTTTGCAAAGAGGGCAGGGGGCAATGAGTATCATGTTCGTATTCGAACAATTGTTGGCGAGAGGGCGCAGTAAGCCTGTAGTGGTCCAGGCTCTACAACGCAACGGCCATGAACAAAAACCTATAACCCTAAACAACAAACCACAGTGTACACTGAACTCTAACACCCAGTTCCTGGGTTTCTGTAGAAGGATTTAAGTCCCTAAGGCTCCATGTACCCACATAGTAGGTACTTAGGCCTTAAAGGGGTCCCTATATGGCTACTTTAAGGCCTAAGTACCTACTATATGGGTACATGGAGCCTTTGGGATTTAAGTTGCCATAAAAAGGAAACCAAAATACTTACTATGGTAACGTAAATTTAAACCCTTAACAAAGGACCCGGAATCTGCAAGGAGCATGACGGGACTCCATACTCCATGCTCCTGCTGGCTAGGAGGCTGCTAATAGCGCAAAGCCTCCAATATCCCTCAGTTAAGGAATATTTTCCCAAGGCTTCCTTAAAAGGACCTATAATGGTTCTTGCAGGAAATTAAGGCATCTTCCTTAAACTATAGTAGTACCCCTGATACGATTTAAGGTATATTCCTTAATTAAGGGATATTGGAGCCACTGGGAGTCACGAACACTTCACACTTGCCGATCGCAAAGAAGTCGTCGGCTGTCGCTCAAACGGATAAGTATGCGCGATTAGTAGTATAAACCTAAGACATCGTAGTGAGCATGAATACGAGTATTCGTTGTGTGTATGTACGTAGGTAGGTAGGTAAGTAGTCAGGCACGTAGGTATGTAGGTATGCTGATATGTATGTGTGTATGTATTCATGTACACATGTATTCATAGTATATACGCACATGCACACTTACAAATACATACAGAACTATGGCGACTGAACTGCTCAACTTTCCAGACAACTCTTTTTGTCGATGGGAGATTTCCTTCGAACAATATTTTTCTGAACAGGAGCAGACAGAAAGAATCAACGACATATTAAATCCTACTTGGAAGATCGTGGGACTTAGTAAGTAAGGTTATAAGTACCTCAATTGGGATTACAGGTTGTTATAAGTTATAAGTATAGTTACCCTAATAATAACCTTAGTTACTAAGTGCCATGATCCTTTAACCCTAACTCCTTACAAAGTATTGAAGCCCTACCAACAAAGTCGGTTCGGGTAGCTCAAGGCCCCCAACTCCTGGTCTTAAGCCATACCTGGCACCTAAGAAGCCTGCATTTTGGGGGGCTGCTTGTTGTGATTTCCTTATTAAAGGACGAAGGCCAGATTACTTGAGGCTAGCTTCCCCAGTAGCCCTTTAACAATGAAGATAACCTTTTCTTAGAATTCGGCTTTTCTTGAGGAGACACCAAAAGAAGCCAAAGGGTACAAGCACTGGGTAACCCACGGCATTTGTCGAAAGAACCCTAAAGCCCAAAGCTTAGAGCGAGGCCTCTGACTGGGTCTTGGCGCTGGCATCCAACTCTGCCTGCAACCTGACTCTGGTTTAGGGGTCTAGGGGTTTAGGGTTTAGAGTTTAGAGTTTAGGGTTTGGGGTTTAGGGGTTTAGGGTGCGCCTTAAACTGCCAAAACCTGCTTCTTTATTTAAGGTTCCTGTATATATTCAAAACTAGAGTCTATATGAGGGACCTACAAAAAAGTAGGCTCTGGGTTGGGGTTTAGGGAGTCTCACGGTTTGTCGGCTCATAAGTTGGGGTTGTAGCTCATAAGTTTCGGGTTGGGGGTTGAGAGGCTTAGGGTGCCAGGTTTAGGATTTATAGGGCTTCGGGTTTCAGGTTTCCTGCGTGTTTCGGGGTATAGAGCTTTGGGATTAGGGTTCTAGGATGTGCGGACGAGGGATTACTGATCAAGGGTGTAGGATATGTGGCTTGGGTTCTCCATCCTAAACACAAACCCGCCCCCAACCATAGACCCCAAAAAAACCCAAATCCCAAAGCCTGAACCCTGAACTCGATGCTCAACCCGAAAGAGCCTAGGATAGCCTAGGAAGCAAAAGGGCTCCCTTCTCTAGGACTACAAAAAGGGAATAAGGGCACTACTGGGCATCCTAGTACAAGTACGAGCTTGGGGTTAAGTGCCAGCTTAGGGTTCTGGATGTAAAGACCATACTTAAAGGACCGTGGGACTTAGTAACTAAGGTTATTGTTAGGGTAACTATACTTATAACTACTTGCAACCCCAATTAGGCTACTTATAACCTTATTTACTAAGTCCCATGATCCTCCAAGTACAAAATAAGGCCTTTGAGCTATTTTGATGTCCAGGAAACGACTCCTCCAGATGAGTCTTGCTCTGCCGGGGCTTCCGGCAGGCCAATGGCTCCCCTCTAGGCACTCTGCAGTACGGTTTAGGGTTTAGGATTTAGGGTTTAGGATTTAGATTTAGGGTTTAGGGTCTAGGATTTAGGGTTTAGGGTTTAGGATTTAGGGTTTAGGATTCAGGATTTAGGCAGGATGACGGGACTTGGCAAGTATGGTTACAGGCACCTGAATTGGGGCTCTAAGAACTCATCAGTACAAGTGCCCTAAACTCTAAACCCTAATAGTAACCTTCACCAAGTCCCAAAATGATCCTTTGAGTAAGGTTGCGTGGCATGGAGTTTAGGGTTCTGGTTTTGCGATCTCTTAAAGAGTTGAGAAATTATGGTTCTAGAATGTTCCAGAAAGCTTCTGAGCTCAAAATTCAATAGTCAATACACCCGAGAGACAACAGCAACAATAACAGCAAAGCCTGTGTTACACAACAAACCACCTGGGTTTCCGATTAGCCCGAAACCCAAGCCCTCAAACCTAAACCCCCTTGACGCTAACCCTAAACCTCAACCCTAAACCGTATCACCGAAAAGAAGACCCTAGTACAGAACCCTGAACCCTAAAGAACCCTTGACCCTGAACCCTAAAGGCCCGAAAACCCTATACTACCTTTCAAACGCCCCATATACGTCCCGTAGTACCCTTTGCTCTTATATAACCCTAAACCAAAACTCCCCGAAAACCCTGTACTACCTTTTCCTACGGGGAACTAAAGGTAGACCTCTATGGTCATATAGGGATTATATAGGGACTATGCTACCCCAAAAAGGTTAAAGGTTACCACCCATTATAAGGAATATACCATAGTTGCCATAGTTTAGAGTCCTTAGGTCATGCAAGATTTGTATCATCAACCTAAACCCTAAACCCTAAAACCCTATAGATCCCTTAAAGGAACCCCTTACAGGTACCCTTATAGATCCCTTTAAAGGAGCCCTCATCAACAGTACCTTGTAAAGGCTCTACACCTGCGACTCAGGGGCTCGCGACTTCGGCACAAAGGTTTGTTACTTACGGGGGGGCTGACTACGCAAGCCCAGAAAAGTCTTTGGGTTTAGGGTTTAGAGTTTAGGCTTTAGAGTCTTTAGAGTTTAGGGTTTAGAGTTTAGGGTTAAGGGTTTAGGGCTCTATAACCTTTTGAACTACGGTAGGAAAATCTTAGAAACCCCAAAAGGTTAAAGGTTACCGATGCAGCTACTAGGATTCTGATGCATATACACCCCAAACTGATTTGCTGAATTGCCTCACGAACCCTAGGTATGATAGGGTTTAGTGCTTGGGATTTAGGGTTTGGTGTGTAGAGCTTGGAGTTTTAGGGTCTACCCAAAGGTCCCAAAGTAGTTCTTTTTGGGGATTAAAAATTTGGAATTCTAGAAGGTAACCCCAAAAAGGAACTACTTTGGGGCCTATGGGTCTAGGGCTTTCGATTGCTACCGTGTTCACTTGACAGGCGGCCGCTGCAGAGAGGCATCTTGCTCCTTCTTCGCCGTGGCCGCCTGCTCCTTTCCCAAAGGCTCCATGTACCCATGTAGTAGGTACTTAGGTCTGAAAGTAGCCATACAAGGACCCCTTTAAGGCCCAAGAAGCTACTATATGGGTACATGGAGCCTTAGGGTTTGTAGGTTTCATGATCCAAACGTCGAAAGCCCTAAAGCACGGTTTAGGGTTTAGGAAGCGTTAAAGCCCTACCTTTACCGTGAATAACCTACCTTTTGCGGGTGCCTTGTTATGATTTCTTTCTATAGGTCCTTAACAAATCTGAAAAAGCGGTAGGGTATTCCGGGCTCAGGTAAGCCCTAAACTACGAGACCAGGGGGGCCTGGGAGTCGCGGCGGTCTTTTCTGTTTTGGGCTGGCGGCGCGGGCGGGCCGTGCAGGATTTATAGGGTCGCGGAGATTGGGCTTGCACGTGACTTGAGGAAACTTGAGACCCCAAGCCGCAAACAGACCTTAATACCCCTTAAGGAATATGTATTTATTTTCTTGTAGGATCCCTAATATGACTCAGGGTACATTCCCTAATCAAGGGTCGGAATATACCTTAAATTATAGGAGGATCCCAAATATGACTCAGGGTACATTCCTTGACCAAGGGATGTTGGAAGGTCTTGGGCCCCGTCGACTTGGCAATCATTTAAAGGTGAGGACACTCAGCCTCAGCATAGGCTTCGGCTCCTTGTAGAAATTACGGTACCCCTGTGGGCTAAGGTTTAGGTGCAGGGTCCTGTAGCTCCACTATCGCTGTTACACAAGCCGTAGAAAAGCAACCTCCCAAACACAAAGGGCAAAAGGGTACCAATGCTGAGGTTGCATGACGAGTTTAAATTAATCAAAAGGCTGCACATATGGGTAGTTGTCAAGATTATGGTCTCTTTCTGGGTACCCTAAATGTTAGGTGCCGTATTATAATAGGGACCCAAAAGGGGACCCTAATTTTGACAACCAGCCCTGTCCCTAAGGGTCCAAGTACCTAATTATCATATACTCTCCAAAATAGTAACCTACATAACTACCATCCTAAAACCGAGTACCTGATTATTGGGTCCTTTGGACCCTCGGGGGAATAGTAGGAAAATGGGTACCCACATTATCCGAAAACCGAGTACCTAACTATTGGGTCCTAAACCCTAAGCCCTAAACCTTAAGCCCTAAAAGGTTGTATGGTCTATGGAAACTGCCCGGCGGTCTGTGTTTCCGAAGGCAGGAATGTAGCAGTCCAGGGATACTATAAGGGCACTATAAGGGTTTAGGGATATAGGGGCCTTAACAATTAGAGTAGGGTTTTGGGGCCCATTATACCACAATGATGATAAGGAGCCTAAAGAATAATACAGATCGTATTGTTGGAACCATTTCGACGGGTTCTTTACCCCAAACCCCAAACCCTAAATCCCAAGCCGCAACCCAAATCGAAACCTGCATGGAAGGCTGGTTTATCAAACTGTCCCTTAGCATTGTATTGCAAAAGGTATTACAACAGCACCCCTGGCCCTGTAAAGCTGTACTTTATGCACACACCTGAAAACCCTGTTTATTCAGACTTTCTGGGATCCTATATATTACCTGTTTCGAAACCCTAACGCCAAACCCCACAGACAGCTGCTCTGGCCAACTCTTTTCAACCAAGCGGCGAGTTCCGCGTTCAACCGCGACACCTCGCCGCTGAGCTGCTCACGCCCGGCATCTGCCTCCATTTTGAAAAAGGTGCCCCAGCATAGGGGCCGCAACAACGAGCAAAGGGCTCGAAAACGGGACATATAGTATTGCTGCGCATTTTTGATCCAGCTGTTATGGGCCTTCATGCTCAAAACGGTGGTTTGTGTAAAGATAAAGGCCGCTGGCTTTCATAGGCTGTAAACTTTTCTGAAAGTTTTCTACTGCCACTTTACATACACACTACACGCAAGAGAATCCTTCACCCTCTACCCTCAGCCCTACTCCCGATGAACTACCCATAGGCCCCAAAGTAGTTCCTTTTTGGGGATTACCTTATAGAATTCTAACCTATGAACCCCAAAAAGGAACTACCTTGGGGCCTATGGGTATCTAACACGCTAAACACGGCAAGCTGCACCACCAGGGCCCATTGACTTCCTAACCCTAAGTCTCCAGGTACCCATAGAGTACAGTAGAAGCCAGAAAGTTGGAATATCATTATCGTAATCCCTTTAAGGTAAATTATAGGGGATCCTACCATTAATCCATATTCCAACTTTCTGGAGTTCCCTTTAGGTACTCAGGCCTTAAAGCGGTCCCTATATGGCTACTTTAAGGGCTAATGGAGCCTCTGGCAAACTCCCGATAAACCTAAAGCGCTAGCTAAGGCCCTGAATGCCCACGCCGACACAAGCCCAGCAGCCGAAAGACTCGCAAAAGGACCCCAGAACCCAAAAATCACAAAACCCTACCCTAAACCTTATTAAAACCCCTAGACCTTAAATAAAAACCCTAAACCCCAAAGCCTCGTCTCTGAACTCCAGCCTCCCACTGCTTTTGCCAAAGGCCAAGGGTCCAAATACCTAATAAGCATATACTCTCCAAAATCCTAACCTACATAACTACTATCCTAAAACTGAGTACCTAATTATTGGGTCCTTTGGACCCTTGGGGAAAGGCCGAGGCCTCCGCATTGCTGTGGGCGGTGGCCATCTCCGCTTCTGAAGCGGCTTGCAGCCTCGGCATGCGATGTAAGTAATGTGAAAGCTGTCTTATCTTATCTGTTTGTACACTTCTAAATATACATATATATATATATATACACTATATAAACAGACATATATACATGTGCATCCATTCAGTATGTCTGTACGTTATGTTATTCTATGTGTTGAGGTGTGATGTCATGTTGTGTTATGTTACGATATTGTACGGCATGTATGTGTGTGTACATGTATATATATATATATATATATATGTACATATATATGCACATATCACGCGTTTATGACTGCTGACAGTAGCACAGACTCAAGCATCAGGGGGGCCATGCCAACTACCTACCTTAACCTACCAAACCCTACTCTTTTGTAGGTTCTTAGTATAAACCCCAATATGGAATTTATAGAGGCCCTACAAAAAAGTAGGTTTTGGTAGGTTCAGGTATGTTGAAAACGGGGATCGGCCATCATGGGCCTGCCTTCAACTTCCGTGTTACTCCCAACAATCCAAGGGTAAAAGGAGGCACCCTCAAGAAGGACCCCTAGGTATGTAACCTTAATATAGCTAGTATATACCCATTATTATAGCCCATTATAGGGTAGGGGTCCACATCAAGGGTCCCTCTCTTTCCCCTTTGAAACAATGTTGCTATGGTGTTTAGGGGGACTCCGGCATAGTGCTTTTTGTCTTGTCGATTATATAAGACACTGGCGTTTCGACTGCCTGCTGTGGACATACACCATGCCAAGGGGTGACTAGTCCAAGCTCCCTAGATACACATATCTATACTGAACTTAGAACCCTGGCAAACATTGTAATTTTAGCTGCTTCTTAGGGATTATAATAACCAAAAATTAAAAATATTTCTAAGTACCCCTAAGTTATGGGAACTCTAAGCCCTAGACCCTGAACCCGCAACCCCTGCCCTGCTCCTCCCACTCACAGCGATGCCCAAGTAGCTGCTGAATAAGCGCATCCTTCTCCCGACTCTGGCTAGAGACTTGCTCCTGACCATTCCACCGACGAGAGTCATTCGAAGTCTTCGAGGTTACATGGGTAGTTCTCTGAATTCGGATCCTTGTCAAAGTCCCTTTCAAGGATAAAGGTGCTGTACTATTTTGGGACCTGAAAACGGACCCTAAGTTAGAGAACTACCCACACAGGCCTTCAGGACTTAGAGCTCCAAATCTTGCAGGGTTTCGGCTTCGAGGCCAGGCGACCTTGAGGGTTTAGGGTTTCTAAGCCCTCAGCCGAGGACTCCGAATAATCGAACTCCTGAAAGGGAACCGTCCAGTCGAAGGCAACACTCCGGAGGAGTTGAGTGTGTCTTCGGCTACGGGTTTCGCAAATCCAATGCACTGGTTTCGCTCGGCTTTGTCTGGTCTAGATATATGGGTGGTTGTCAAAATTATGGGTACCTTTTCGGGTACCTTATTATATTAGGTGCCGTACTATTATAGTAATATAATATTAGGGACTCAAAAAGGAACCCTCATTTCGACAACTACCCCTGTAAGGTTTAGACTTGAGGAAATTCGGAGGCGGGAGGCCTCACATCATCAATCCCCCACAGCATGGCAGACTGACCCGTAAAGAATTATCATATTCAAACGTATTTCAGCTTCTGTAGTATTCATAATACATATAAATATGTGCCGTAAGTATTGCTGTAACCCTAACTGATGAGCTCGACACCCTACATAAGCCCTGAGAGCCGTAAACCCTAAAACATTAGTCCACCCTAAACCCATAAACCCCTAAACCCTTAACCCCTAAACCGAAAAAACCCTAAACCCTAAATCCCTAAACCCTAAATCGTACAGATCACTTTTAGACCCCTTTAGGATCCGTGTAAAGATCCTTTTACGGACTCCTTCAAGGGTTACTTTAAAGGAACCTTCAAAGCGAACCCTGAAAAAGCCCTTAGCGTCTCCAGCTCGTCTACAGCGCGGGAGAGCTCGCCGCGAAGCTCCTCCTGGCTCGCCGCAGCCTGAGAAGTCCCAGAACGTGGGGTGCACTTGGAGGTTCAGGGGTAGTTACAAGTAGGGTTATAAGTCCCATAATATGGGTTATAAGTACAGTATAACTACCCATGAACCTCCAAGTAGGGCATTTTGGGGTTCCCTTTAAAGGGATCTTTAGGGTCTAGGGGTTTAGGGGTTTCGGGGCTTAGGGGGTTTAGGATTTAGGGGGTTCAAATTTAGGGTTTAGGGGTGTATACGGGGTTTAGTGAACCAGGACGCCCCCCAAGAGCCCCTTAATGGGCTCCTCGTCATATAAGAGGTAAAATACGGGCTACACTAAAGGGTGTACCCGTTAATAGAGCCCCTATGGTCTTTGAAGTGGGTGCTTGAGTGCAATAAAGGATAGTTGGGAGGTTATACCGTATAGATCCCTTAGAGGAGCCCCTTAAAGGTACCCTTATAGATCCCTTTAAAGGAGCCCCAGGATTTATATCATGAACCGTATAGGGCTTTGGGAGGGTTTAGAAGTTTCAGGGTCTGGGGTTTGGGGATTTCAGGGTGCGGGGTTTCGGGATTGAAGTTTAGGGTGTAGGGTGTGGGGTTTAAGGGTTTAGCGTTTGGGGTTTAGGGGTGTAGGATATGGGCTTTAGGGGTTTAGGGTTTGGGCTGTAGGGTGTGGGGCTTAGGGGTGCAGGGTGTGGGGTTTAGGGGTTTAGGGTGTGGGGTTTAGGGGTTTACGGTTGGGGGGTTCTTGATCGGGATTGGCTGGAGTCATGCATGGATTGGGGGGTTAGGGTTGAGGGAGGGTTCAGGGCTCTCTTCAACAGGCGCGCCCAACAAGGATTCCAATTTTGAGGGATAGACCAAATAATTTGCAAAGTTCCCCCAGTGGCTTTCTAGGCAGAGTGTCGGGCTTGGAAGGGTTTAGGGATTTGCCACAAACCAAAGCTTGCACTAACCATGCTCGCTCGGGGTGGGTGCTTCCAAAATGTTTGGGTGCTAGCTCGTTTGTCTGCGCCGGCTGCTTGTTTGCATGAGGCGTGCTGCGCAAGCGAGCGAGCACGCAATTATGTTAGAAGCACGCACCTCGAAGCGATCATGCGTTGGACTTCTATGGAATCTAACCCCAAATCCTAAACACCTCCACAGCGAGTCTGAGGCCTCAAAAACGCGTCGTTGTTGCATGCTCGCTCGGGGAGGGTGCTTCTAACAGTTTTGGGTGCTCGCTGGCGCGTGTGCGCTGCTCCGGCGTGCACGTCGGAGCGAGCTCCACAATCGAGCGAGCACGCAGTTGTGTAGGAAGCACGCAACTCGAGCGAGCATGGCTAGCGAAAGCTTTGAACAAAGGCTTGAGGGGTAGTAGTATGGGCTCTAGTGGTTGCACCTGGGTTGATGGGTGTAATTAATGGGATGCTGTAGGGCTGCTAGAGGAAATCCACGGTATCTATACCCCCCTTAGAACCATCAATATTGTTCATTTCTCTTGGTTTTATATGAACAAAAACAAAAAATAATGGCCACGGAGACTCCAGGTTTTCTAGGATGCGATGACCGGGCCGAACAAGTTCTCCTATAAGATAGCACCAGCAACCTGTGTTTCTTTCGAGGCTCATGGGCACCATGTCGAGGTTTAGGGGGCACCATGTGGGAGCTTCCGAAAATTAGGGGTACCTTATTTGGTGTCCGTATAATAATGAGAATCCTACCATGTAGGGTACTATATTGGGGTCCCTTATTTTCGGAAGCTCCCAAACCCTAAACCCTTTATAGAACCCTTATAGATCCCTTTAGAGAACCCTTAAAGGATCCCTTTAAAGGTATCCCTAATTTTCGGAAACTCCTATACTTAGGGGTTTTTATAAAGGGTCCAACCCCTCAACAAACATACTGGGGGGGCGCTTAGGTTATGCTTCGCAGGGCTTACGGATACCCCAAGTGCTACAACCCGACAGAGTGAAATCCAATACCCAGAACCCAGATCAATTAGAAGCCCATTACAGGTGGGTAGTTCCTCTTCCATAGTACTCCCATAAGACCCCTTTACCTTATAGGAGTGGTATGGAAGGCTTATGGGAGACTACCCACCTTAAAACTACCCACCTGTAAATGGCTTAGATCAATTGAACCCCCAAACTGCACACCGGAACGATAATTATAGGATCCTTAAGGGGGGGTGGTTCAAGGGGGGAGGGTACTAGGGAGCTTTGGGGAACCTTAGGGAAGCTTAGGGAGTATTGGGGAATAATGGGGATTACTAGGTCACCTACCCCCCTTGGACCACCCCCCCTTAAGGACATCCTAAGATAATCCCTAAGGCCCTAAACCCCTCAAAGCCTACAGCCCTGAAACGATATTGAGAACCCTACACCCCTTGTGGCCCGTGAGCCTTACCCTCCAGAACCGTTAAGCCGTCGATTTAAGGGATCTGGGGTACACTCTACAAACCTTTGCAACATCTTTAGACAGCTGCTGTAAATATCTTACAAAGCCTTGATAAACCTTCCGAAAATCCTTACTAGGGTTCTTTTTCCCTAAACCCCTAACCCGTAAACACCATAAACCCTAAACCCTTATCCCTAAACCACTAAACCCCTAACCCCTAAACCATAAACCCGGAACCCTTATCCCTACCTAGAGGCTCATACCCTACCCCTTTTTTAGGATAACTAGATTTATGTTAGGAACTGTTATCTTAAAAAGTAGGCGCCCCAAAAAAGGGGTAGGGTATGAGCCTCCAGGTAAACCCCGAACCCTAGGCCCTTACCTGCTTTATAAGCCTTCCGAAAACCTTTACTAAGGTTCTGTTTCCCTAAACCCTAACCCCTCAACCATAAACCTAAACTCTCATCCCGTAACCCCAAACCCTAGGCCCTTACCTGCTTTTTTTTGCAGGGCCTGGGCGTGGTCCTCCTGAGCCTTGGCCTTCAATGCCTCCATGTCTGCCGAAAGCCTCGGGATCCGAAAGGGTCCAACGGTGGATGATATAAATCCCTAGGGCTTTTTTTAAGGGATCTATAAGGGTACCTTAAGGGTTCCTTTGGGGGATCTCTAGGGATTTAGGGTTTAGGGTCTAGGTTGATGATATAGATCCTGCATGACCTTAAGGACCCTAAACTATGGGAATTATGGTATATTCCTTATTATGGGTGATGCAGGATTTCTATCATCAACCGAAGTACCACTACAGTGGGTACTTAGTACCCCAAAGTATATACTATATACGGTTACTTGCACCCTTTCGGGATGGAGATCCCCAAAAACTTACCTTACGTCTTATCAGGGTGTAGGGTTTAGGCCCTCAGAGGGTTCAGGGTTTCGTGGTTTATGGACTCGCATCGGGCGCCTAGGGTCGATAAGAAAATTCTCCAGTTTGTTACGAGTCTATGGAGTCGTACAGGGGTGGATAGGATCCCAAGGGTTTTATAGGGCTTTAGAGGATTTACGGGAGGTCTTATAATATACCTTAAACTACCAAACCCTACTTTTTTGTAGGTTCTTATTATAAACCCTAATATGGAATTTACAGGGACCCCACAAAAAAGTAGGTTTTGGTAGGTTAAGGTAGGGGTAGATCCACAAAGGCTTCACATGGTTATTCCTAGGCCTTTGCACGAACTTATATGGTTTACACAGGGCTTGTGCGGGAGTGGACTATTGAAGAAAGACAAACCCGCATCCTGCTCCTCAAACACTTGATCGTGAAGCTTTTGTCCCAGACCCGCGCCCACAACTCCACAATTCATCCTCCGGCCAGACATCTCAAGTCTTTCAACCTTGGTCATTCTAGGAGCTTTGGTTAAAAACCCTGCAAAGGTCCGGAAGGATTGGTCGCCAAGGACGTCAAAGGTCTAGGGGATCAGGTTTTAGCGACTTTGGGATTCCCCCGAACCATAGCCACAACCCCGATCCCAAGGGCTTAGGGGTTTAGGGGTTTAGGGTTTAGAGTTTAGGGGTTTGGGGGTCTGGGTTTAGGGTAAACCCGCTGAACCCAACAGAGTCGAGTGGTGTAGAGACTATGCAGCTCTCCTTGCACATGCCGCACCCTAAACCCTAAACCCTAAACCTTAACTCTTCAACCCTAACCCCTAACCCCTAACTCCTAAACCCTAAACCCTCAACCCTAAACCCTAAACCGTAACACTTAAACTCTAAACCCTACACCTCAAACCCTCAACCCTAAACCCTAAACCCGAAACCCCTAACCCCTAAACCTTCAACCCTAAACCCTCAACCCTAAACCCTCAACCCTAACCCCTAAACCCTCAACCCTAAGCCCTAAACCCTAAACCCTCAACCCTAAACCCTCAACCCTAACCCCTAATCCCTAAACCCTAAACCCTCAACCCTAAACCCTAAGCCCTAAACCCTAAACCCTCAACCCTAAACCCTCAACCCTAACCCCTAATCCCTAAACCCTAAACCCTCAACCCTAAACCCTCTCTTTCAAATGAGTATTTAAATGTTGAGCCATGTTTTCGTTCGGGACCCCCCGGTGGTTCAGCCAGGTTTTCGTATGGACCCCCCGGTGGTTCAGCTAGGTTTTCGTATGGACCCCCCGGTGGTTCAGCTAGGTTTTCGTATGGACCCCCCGGTGGTTCAGCTAGGTTTTCGTATGGACCCCCCGGTGGTTCAGCTAGGTTTTCGTATGGACCCCCCGGTGGTTCAGCTAGGTTTTCGTATGGACCCCCCGGTGGTTCAGCTAGGTTTTCGTATGGACCCCCCGGTGGTTCAGCTAGGTTTTCGTATGGACCCCCCGGTGGTTCAGCTAGGTTTTCGTATGGACCCCCGGTGGTTCAGCTAGGTTTTCGTATGGACCCCCCGGTGGTTCAGCTAGGTTTTCGTATGGACCCCCCGGTGGTTCAGCTAGGTTTTCGTATGGACCCCCCGGTGGTTCAGCTAGGTTTTCGTATGGACCCCCCGGTGGTTCAGCTAGGTTTTCGTATGGACCCCCGGTGGTTCAGCTAGGTTTTAGTATGGACCCCCCGGTGGTTCAGCTAGGTTTTCGTCGGTGGTTCAGCTAGGTTTTCCCCCCGGTGGTTCAGCTAGGTTTTCGTATGGACCCCCCGGTGGTTCAGCTAGGTTTTCGTATGGTTCCCCCCGGTGGTTCAGCTAGGTTTTCGTATGGACCCCCCGGTGGTTCAGCTAGGTTTTCGTATGGACCCCCGGTGGTTCAGCTAGGTTTTCGTATGGACCCCCGGTGGTTCAGCTAGGTTTTCGTATGGACCCCCCGGTGGTTCAGCTAGGTTTTCGTATGGACCCCCGGTGGTTCAGCTAGGTTTTCGTATGGACCCCCCGGTGGTTCAGCTAGGTTTTCGTATGGACCCCCCGGTGGTTCAGCTAGGTTTTTGCTTCTTTCTGTACTGCAGCAATAGAAACATAAGTATGCCTGGAAATCGAGGCGTAGGGTTTGAGGTTTGATGTCGTTTAAGGGTAACGAAAAAACTTTCTAACTCTTATGTTTTGGGATTCTTTGGGTGGGTGGGTATTCTTCCAAGTTCTTACTAGCGAACTTGACTAGATACTGCTCGACCAGAGCTGCTGAACCCTAAGCCCTAAACCCTAAACCCTCAACCCTAAACCCTCAACCCTAACCCCTAATCCCTAAACCCTAAACCCTCAACCCTAAACCCTAAGCCCTAAACCCTAAACCCTCAACCCTAAACCCTCAACCCTAACCCCTAATCCCTAAACCCTAAACCCTCAACCCTAAACCCTAACCCTAAACCCTAAACCCTCAACCCTAAACCCTCAACCCTAACCCCTAAGCCCTAAACCCTAAACCCTCAACCCTAAACCCTCAACCCTAACCCCTAACCTAAACCCTTAAAAACCTAAACCATAAACCCTAAAATCCTAAACCTAAAACTAACACACTTAAATCCCCCCTAAACCCTACAACCCAAACACCCCCTAAATCCTAAAAACACTAAACCCTAAAACCACGAAACCCTAAACCCTAAAACCCTAAATCTAAAACCAAAACCCTTAAAACCCTAAATCGCTAAAACCTAACCTAAAACCCTAAACTAAGCGAGGGGCCGAAACCGTCGAACGACAGGCCCCGAGCGCTCTGGCCGAGGGCCTAACAGCCCGAGCGCCCCTACGAAAAGAGCGGGACGCGGAGAGGGGAGGGTAAAGCCTCCCCGGTCTGACCTGCCCAGGTCAACGGTGTAAAGCCCATGGCAAACCCCAACGGGAAGCCTTCGAAATGAGGGACCGCCGTATCGGGACCACCTCTAGCGTAGCTATATAATAACCCCAAACCGTGGGCCATTTGCTCTGGTCCCCCTTTTTTGGGTTAGGATTTAGGATTTAGGGTTTAGGATTTAGGATTTAGGATTTAGGCTTTAAGGTTTAGGATTTAGGATTTAGGATTTAGGATTTAGGATTTAGGGTTTAGGATTTAGGATTTGGGATTTGGGGTTTAGGATTTAGGATTCTGGATTTAGGGTTTAGGATTTAGGATTTAGGATTTAGGATTTAGGGTTTAGGATTTAGGATTTGGGATTTAGGGTTTAGGATTTAGGATTTAGGATTTAGGATTTAGGATTTAGCCTCCTGAAATTTGGATTTTTGCTGGTGATTTTCAAGTGACAAATTCTGTTCATAAAATGTGCCTTTTAGAGAAGGCCGGTTGCGAATCTCGAGGTCCCCTCCTTTCTTTTCTTGTGGCTGCTCTTAAGCTTCCGGATTTCAATATTTAGTCGCGCTTGTCTTTTTCCGAAAAGGACAACCAGCTCTAAAATCTAGATTTAGGATTTAGGATTTAAGGTTTAGGCTCTAGGATTTAGGATTTAGGGTTTAGGATTTAGGATTTAGGATTTAGGATTTAGGGTTTAGGATTTAGGATTTAGGATTTAGGATTTAGGGTTTAGGATTTAGGATTTAG